TAGATGTTAAATAAAATTTTGATGGTGTAACATATGCATACATATAATTGCGAGTACTTACATGTTAATATATTATTACTAGCGCACCTTATTTCTATGCTGCTCTGCAGCCTGTCGCTTATATAACTATATGAAGGTATTACAAAATATAATCTTATATTCGATACCTAATCTTTCATTAATATTAATGCTTAATTATTACTATAGTGCGCGCTTACTATACGCACGTGTCTTTAACCTTACTTAAACTCCGCTGTATATAAGTAGCTAAATGCAATATAAAATAATAATTGTTTCGTGATAATAAAATAGAACGGTGTTGGTTTAAGTGATGAAAGACTATTGTTATTATTGTATGCGGTAAGCGCTGGGGGTGTCCATTGAATAAAAGAATTTTAGTTCATAGCTTAAATGAAATGATAATGAGATGCGACACAGACCATTGAAAAGCATTTGTGAAAAGAGACACTGGTTTTGCTCTCAGAATTGCGAAAAAATGAAAACTAGTATAAATTAGTTTCCGCCGTCCAGTAAAAGCGTGGCAAGGTTAAAAGATATATTAAGGTATTTTAGAACTAAATTGATTATGGTATATTATGGTATATGTATTAGACTTGTATGCAAAAATAAATTTATATAAGAAAGATAGTGTTATAACATCATAAAATAATTACGATTACAAAAAATTAAAAGGTATATGCAGGAGGGATATAACATATATAATTAAATAAAAGTATATAAATGTTAACGATTCTGTAAATTCTAATAAGTACTGGTAAATGTCTTTGGTAGCAAACGTATAAGCTTAACGAGTAATATTCTAAGGCATTGGTATAAGGCTCTGGATGTATAAGGCTTTGGTTTAGTAATACTGAGGATATGAAGAATACTGACGCTTCGCTAAGAGGCGTAGTATGTAAAAGAAGCTACTGCTTCGAAGTCTGGATATTGAATGAGGTATATGACGCCTCGCTAAAGAAGCGGAGTTAAGAAAAGCAGCTACTGCTTCAAAGGATGGAGTCTAACCAGGGAATGGAAAGTTACTTTTTAAAAATAACTAGTTACAGTTACTCGTTACCTAGCCCCTACCCAAGAAATTGGCCAATCTTGACCACCTAAAGGAATTTTACCTTTTAATCCTTTTGATATTCCACTCATAAATACTATTATCTTAATTTCTTCAGGACTCTCAATTACTTGATCACACCATTCTTTAATTAATTTTAACCTTAAAGAAAGAAAAAATAGATTAATCTTAACTATCTCTCTAGGAATTTATTTTTCATTCCTTCAACTAATTGAATACCAAGATTCTCCTTTTACCCTCAGAGATTCAATCTTTGGATCTACATTTTTTATTGCTACTGGCTTTCACGGTATCCATGTTATTATTGGATCAATTTTTCTTTCAATTAGTTTAATACGTCTCCAAAATTCTCATTTTTCACCTAACCATCATTTTGGATTTGAGGCATCTTCGTGATACTGACATTTTGTAGATGTAGTATGAGTATTTCTTTTTATTTCAATATATTGATGAAGATTTTAATTTTATTTATTTATATAGTATAATCTTATTACATTTAATTTCCAATTAAAAAATTTAATTTCATAATAATATAAGTAATTATATTTTTAATATATTATTCTTTTTTTATTTTTATTATCCCAATTATTCTATTTTTCTTATCTCTAATTATTTCTAAAAAAAATTTATTAAATCGAGAAAAAATAACCCCTTTCGAATGTGGATTTGATCCACTTTCTCCTGATCGCCTACCTTTCAGTATTCAATTTTTTATTATTAGCTTAATTTTCTTAATCTTTGATATTGAAATTACTCTACTAATTCCTCTAATCTTTCTTTCTCTTAACTTTAACCCATTTTTTATCATTTTATTATTAATTTTTTTAAGTAGTCTTATTTTTAGCCTTTATTTAGAGTATAACGAAAATTCAATTGATTGAAAAATTTAATTTTACATATTTATATATACACATATTAAATTTACTAATTAAAATAGGATATTAATTAAACTAATAATATTTAAATTGCATTTAAAAATAATAACCTTAAATTATATATCTTACTGGCATTACACATCTATAATCTTTATTCTTAAAGTAATGATTTACACTTTAATTTCGAATTAAATATTAGTTTTTATTTAAAATCTAAGAATAAAATTTTATTTCTTCCTATACACTTATATCTTCTTCCCCTCTCTATTAACTATCACCCCTATTACTCACTTTTAAATACCACCCATCAAAATTTAATTATTATTAAATAAATTAATATTAACTAAAACCAAAAAGAGGTATATTATTGTTAATAATATAAATGAAATATTTTCTAGTTGAAGTAATTTTTAATGAACTTCTAATTCATTTTTTTATGATTTTTTTCATATTACTTCTTTCTTACTTTTAGTAACTTAAATATAGTTTATTTTTAAAACATTATTTTTTCATAATAAAAATAGTTTACAAAAACTTATTTAAAAATTTTAATTAATTTTCTTAATATCTTCAATATTATACTTTATATATAAGCTATTTAAATTAATAACATATATTTACAAATATAATTATTAACATAAATGTATTTATAAATATATAATACTTAAAATTAATTATTTTATATTTACTAAGTATAAAATTTATTAAATAATATTTTTCTAACTTTTCAATTCAACTCTTATCTACCTTATCAATCTCTCTTCTTAATTTGTTAAAAGGATGATAAATTCATGTATATAATATACTTAAAAATCATATAGATCTCACAAAATACCCTAAATAATATAATTTTAAATATTTTTTAATATTAATCACTATAATAATTCCCACAATTCCCCCCAATAAATATATACCCAAAGTAATTAATTTAACTTTTATAGATAAATAAACTATATAAAAATCAAAAAAAAATACTCAATTTATTAAAGCTCCTATTATTACTCTAAAAACTAATAAAATTATTATAGAAAAATTTATTAATTTCTCTTCCCTAAAATAATAATACCTATAAAATTTTATTCTTTTATTATATATTAAATAATATAACAATCGAACTGAATACAATACAGTTAAAAATAAAGATATAATTACTAATATTTCTATATAAATATTTACCCCATTCTTTGAATAAACTAACTCCATAATTAAATCTTTTCTGTAAAATCCTGATATAAAAGGTGTGCCTATCAAAGCAATTGAAGAAATTATAAATCTTATCATTGTAAAAGGCATAATTTCATTCAAATTTCCTAATAATCGAATATCTTGAATATTTTTTATACTATGAATAATTACTCCAGCACTTATAAATAATAATGATTTAAAAATAGCATGAATTAATAAATGATATATAGCAATTAACTTAAACCCTAACCTTAAAATTATTATTATAAATCCTAACTGCCTCAGTGTAGACAAAGCAATAATTTTCTTAAAATCATACTCAAAATTAGCTGCTATACCAGCTATAAATATTGTTATAATAGCAATATTAAATAATGCACTACTCCCTCCTACCCTACCCCTAAAAGTATTAAAAAATCGAATAATTAAATATACCCCCGCTGTAACTAATGTTGAAGAATGAACCAAGGCTGAAACAGGAGTAGGGGCCGCCATAGCTAAAGGTAACCACACAGAAAATGGAATTTGAGCTCTCTTAGTAATTGAAGCTAATAATAATATTACTATAACTATTTTATTTCTATCTAAAATTTCTAATCTTCATCTACCCATTATTATCATTAATCTAATTGATATCAAAATCCCTACATCCCCTAATCGATTACATAAAACTGTCACCATAGCAGAATTATAAGATGAAAAATTTTGATAATATATAACTAAACAATAAGACACTAAACCAAGCCCATCCCACCCAATTAAAATTCTTACTACATTAGGACTAATAACTATAAAAATTATCCTAAAAATAAATAAAGTTACTAAACTATTAAAGCGATTTAAATTTTCTTCCCCTTTTATATAAATTACCCTATAAACTATAATTATTCCTGAAATTATTAAAATAAATCTTATAAATAATAATGAAACTCAATCTAATAATATTATAAATTCAATATTTATTGAATTAATCCTTACTATAATTTGTTGATTTCACTCATTATCTTCATTAAATCCTTTTATTTCAATTTTTGCAACTATTCTCTGTAGTTTCCTTTGATGACGTGATGTAGCTCGAGAATCTACTTTTCAAGGATGTCACACTTTTTATGTTTATACTGGTATAAAAATAGGTATAATTTTATTTATTATTTCAGAAATTTTTTTTTTTGTTTCTTTTTTTTGAACCTACTTTCACTCTTCCCTAGCCCCTACCCAAGAAATTGGTCAATCTTGACCACCTAAGGGAATTTTACCTTTTAATCCTTTTGATATCCCACTCATAAATACTATTATCTTAATTTCTTCGGGACTCTCAATTACTTGATCACACCATTCTTTAATTAATTTTAACCTTAAAGAAAGAAAAAATAGATTAATCTTAACTATCTCTCTAGGAATTTATTTTTCATTTCTTCAACTAATTGAATACCAAGATTCTCCTTTTACTCTCAGAGATTCAATCTTTGGATCTACATTTTTTATCGCTACTGGCTTTCACGGTATCCATGTTATTATTGGATCGATTTTTCTTTCAATTAGTTTAATACGTCTCCAAAATTCTCATTTTTCACCTAACCATCATTTTGGATTTGAAGCATCTTCATGATACTGACATTTTGTAGATGTAGTATGACTATTTCTTTTTATTTCAATATATTGATGAAGATTTTAATTTTATTTATTTATATAGTATAATCTTATTACATTTAATTTCCAATTAAAAAATTTAATTTCATAATAATATAAGTAATTATATTTTTAATATATTATTCTTTTTTTATTTTTATTATCCCAATTATTCTATTTTTCTTATCTCTAATTATTTCTAAAAAAAATTTATTAAATCGAGAAAAAATAACCCCTTTCGAATGTGGATTTGATCCACTTTCTCCTGATCGCCTACCTTTCAGTATTCAATTTTTTATTATTAGCTTAATTTTCTTAATCTTTGATATTGAAATTACTCTACTAATTCCTCTAATCTTTCTTTCTCTTAACTTTAACCCATTTTTTATCATTTTATTATTAATTTTTTTAAGTAGTCTTATTTTTAGCCTTTATTTAGAGTATAACGAAAATTCAATTGATTGAAAAATTTAATTTTACATATTTATATATACACATATTAAATTTACTAATTAAAATAGGATATTAATTAAACTAATAATATTTAAATTGCATTTAAAAATAATAACCTTAAATTATATATCTTACTGGCATTACACATCTATAATCTTTATTCTTAAAGTAATGATTTACACTTTAATTTCGAATTAAATATTAGTTTTTATTTAAAATCTAAGAATAAAATTTTATTTCTTCCTATACACTTATATCTTCTTCCCCTCTCTATTAACTATCACCCCTATTACTCACTTTTAAATACCACCCATCAAAATTTAATTATTATTAAATAAATTAATATTAACTAAAACCAAAAAGAGGTATATTATTGTTAATAATATAAATGAAATATTTTCTAGTTGAAGTAATTTTTAATGAACTTCTAATTCATTTTTTTATGATTTTTTTCATATTACTTCTTTCTTACTTTTAGTAACTTAAATATAGTTTATTTTTAAAACATTATTTTTTCATAATAAAAATAGTTTACAAAAACTTATTTAAAAATTTTAATTAATTTTCTTAATATCTTCAATATTATACTTTATATATAAGCTATTTAAATTAATAACATATATTTACAAATATAATTATTAACATAAATGTATTTATAAATATATAATACTTAAAATTAATTATTTTATATTTACTAAGTATAAAATTTATTAAATAATATTTTTCTAACTTTTCAATTCAACTCTTATCTACCTTATCAATCTCTCTTCTTAATTTGTTAAAAGGATGATAAATTCATGTATATAATATACTTAAAAATCATATAGATCTCACAAAATACCCTAAATAATATAATTTTAAATATTTTTTAATATTAATCACTATAATAATTCCCACAATTCCCCCCAATAAATATATACCCAAAGTAATTAATTTAACTTTTATAGATAAATAAACTATATAAAAATCAAAAAAAAATACTCAATTTATTAAAGCTCCTATTATTACTCTAAAAACTAATAAAATTATTATAGAAAAATTTATTAATTTCTCTTCCCTAAAATAATAATACCTATAAAATTTTATTCTTTTATTATATATTAAATAATATAACAATCGAACTGAATACAATACAGTTAAAAATAAAGATATAATTACTAATATTTCTATATAAATATTTACCTCATTCTTTGAATAAACTAATTCCATAATTAAATCTTTTCTATAAAATCCTGATATAAAAGGTGTGCCTGTCAAAGCAATTGAAGAAATTATAAATCTTATCATTGTAAAAGGCATAATTTCATTCAAATTTCCTAATAATCGAATATCTTGAATATTTTTTATACTATGAATAATTACTCCGGCACTTATAAATAATAATGACTTAAAAATAGCATGAATTAATAAATGATATATAGCAATTAACTTGAACCCCGACCTTAAAATTATTATTATAAATCCTAACTGCCTCAGTGTAGATAAAGCAATAATTTTCTTAAAATCATACTCAAAATTAGCCGCTATACCAGCTATAAATATTGTAAAAATAGCAATATTAAATAATACACTATTCCCTCCTACCCTATCCCTAAAAATATTAAAAAATCGAATAATTAAATATACCCCCGCTGTAACTAATGTTGAAGAATGAACTAAAGCAGAAACAGGAGTAGGGGCTGCCATAGCTAAAGGTAACCACACAGAAAATGGGATTTGAGCTCTCTTAGTAATTGAAGCTAATAATAATATTACTATAACTATTTTATTTCTATCTAAAATTTCTAATCTTCATCTACCCATTATTATCATTAATCTAATTGATATCAAAATCCCTACATCCCCTAATCGATTACATAAAACTGTTACTATAGCAGAATTATAAGATGAAAAATTTTGATAATATATAACTAAGCAATAAGACACTAAACCAAGTCCATCCCACCCAATTAAAATTCTTACTACATTAGGACTAATAACTATAAAAATTATCCTAAAAATAAATAAAGTTACTAAACTATTAAAGCGATTTAAATTTTCTTCCCCTTTTATATAAATTACCCTATAAACTATAATTATTCCTGAAATTATTAAAATAAATCTTATAAATAATAATGAAACTCAATCTAATAATATTATAAATTCAATATTTATTGAATTAATCCTTACTACCTTCCACTCTAATATAATTCTTAAATCTAAATATATATAAATTATTCTTATTATTCCTAAAATTACTCTAATTTTAACCATACAAATAAATATAATCATATTAATTATAATTTAAGGTAATAAATTTTTATACTTCACTAATTCCACAAATTAATATTTTAATTTAAATAAACTACTTAAATTTTACTTTAATTTATTAAATAAAAAATATATTTAATAAAAAAAAAACTAATGGATATAAATGTATAATTATTACTATATATTCCATAACCTTACAATTATATATTTTTTCCTCGGCATAACCGGCCCCATGATAAATATAAGAAAATAAATATAATGAATAAGCCCTCCTAAAAAAACAAATTATCATTAAATTTAATCCCAATTTAATTTCTCAATTTAAAATATTTATTAATATACAAATTTCCCCAATAAAATTCAATGAAATAGGAAAAGAAAAATTAATAATACAAAATATAAACCATCATATTATTACATTTGGTATATTTCTAACTAATCCTTTATTTAAAAATAACAAACGTCTTCCTGATCGCTTATAAAATAAATTAACTAAATAAAATATACCAGAAGAACATAACCCATGAGCCACTATTGTAATATAACTTCTTAAAATTCCTATTTTAGTTAATGTTATTATTCTCCTTAATATCAAATTTATATGAACTACTGAAGAATAAGCAACTATCCTTTTTATATCTACTTGAACTATACATAATAATCTTATAAGTACCCCCCCAACAATTCTAATTCTTATAATTCATTCTTTCCTATATAATATTATATTATAATAAATTTCTATTAACCGAATAATCCCGTACCCTCCTATTTTTAATAAAACTCCAGCTAAAATTATTGACCCATAAACTGGGGCCTCTACATGAGCTTTAGGTAATCAAATATGAAAAAATATATACATGGGCAATTTAATAAAAAAAGGTATATAAATTATTAAAAACCCTCAAAATCTTACTTTATAATTATTTATAACTATAATTATTAAATTAAATTTTATTGTCTGACCATATATATACATATCAAAAATATAAACTAATAGTGGAAAAGAAATTAATAATATATAAATTATTATATAAAATGAAGCTCTTACCCGCTCAGGATTCCTCCCCCAATAAATAATTAAAAAAAAAGTCGGAATTAACCTAATTTCAAATATTACATAAAATAATATAAAATCTATAAATAAAAAAAATATTACTAATATAATTAATAAATTAATAAAAATTAATAATTTTATTAAATCCCACTCTTCTCTAATTCTTATTATTATTAAAGCAATAATCCAAATTCTTAATATTATTAATATATAAGAATAATAACTACACCCTAACCTTAACCTTAAATTAAACCAAATTATTAAATCTTTACTTATATATATAAATATTATTTTAAATCTAATCAAATAACATAAATTGAAATAAAATATTATTATTTTATTATTTTTTACTATTAAATTTATAAAAATTATTATTATTAAAAATTTTATCATATTTTCTTAAACTAAAATTTTCTAAAATTAATTATATAATATAAATCATTTCCATAAAATCGAACAATTACTACTAATAAACCTAATCCTAATACTCTTTCGCAAACTCTAAAAATTAAATAATAAATTAAATAAAATTCTAACCTTCTTTGAACTATAAATAAATACATTATTAATAAAATATTTATTATCACTAATTCAATTATTATTAATATAATTAATATATATTTATATACTAATATAAATAAAATCAAAGAAATAAAAAAAATTTGCCCATAAATTATCATATCTAAAAATATTTTAGTTTTATAGTTTAAATTAAAATATTAATTTTGTAAATTAAAGATATATAAATTTACTCTATTAAAACTATCAAAAAAATATTTTAAAATTATACCTTTAATTTCCAAAATTAATATTACTTTTTAAACTATTTTCTGGAAACTTTTTATATTCCTATGGCTAATCTTAGAAATAATATATTTTATTTTATTATTTATATTCTATTTTCAATTATTTTTATATTTTTTATAATAATTTACTTAAATCTTTCCACCATAATTTTATTTCTTATAATTTACACAATTATAATTTGTCTACTATTATCATACTGATCTAAATCACCTATCTATTCTATTATTATTTTTCTAACTTTAATTAGAGGTTTATTAATCATCTTTCTTTATTTTACCAGACTAATCTCTAATATATTTAATATTTTCAATTTTAATATTTTTATTATAGCTAGATTTTTTACTAACCTTTTATCCATCTTATATTTTATTTTAAAAAAATCTAATTTTAAAAACTTACCTATTTCTGAAACATCTTACCTTCAATATTTTATTTTTTCTACTAATGAATCTAACCCTATTATTTATTATAAAAATAAATATCTTATAAATATAAATATCTCTAATATTTTTTTTTACCCTTACTCTTCTATTACTTTTATTGTAATCTTATTTCTTTTACTAACTCTTTTCAGAATTATTAAAATTTGTTCAATTAAATCTTATATATTACGTAAAATTATTTAATATATTTCATACTACTATTTATGAATAAAATCAACCAAATTATTAAATCTTCATTTATCTACCTTCCTAGACCTACTAATATTTCTTACTGATGAAATTACGGATCAATTTTAGGATTATTCTTAATAACACAAATTATTAGAGGAATTTATTTATCTATTCATTATTGCCCTAATACTAACTTAGCTTTTATTAGAATTATCCATATTATCCAAAATGTTCCTCATGGATGAATCTTTCATAATATAAATGGAGCTTCGTTCTTTTTTATTTGTATATATATTCATATTAGCCGTAACATTTATTATACTTCCCATAATTTAACCTATACTTGAATTTCAGGAATTTCTATTTTTCTTTTATCTATATCAACAGCCTTTCTAGGATACGTTCTTCCATGAGGGCAAATATCATTTTGAGGAGCTACAGTAATTACAAATTTATTATCCTCAATCCCTTATATTGGAAATATCTTAGTTATATGAATTTGAGGGGGATTCTCTATTAATAACTCTACTCTTAACCGATTTTTTTCCTTTCACTTTATCCTACCCTTTATTATTATATTTTTTATTATAATTCATTTATTTTTTCTACATATTTCAGGCTCTTCAAACCCAATAGGATTAAATAGTAATCTCCATAAAATTCCTTTCCATAATTATTTTTCTTACAAAGATTTATTAGGATTCATTTATATATTATCTTTATTCTTATTAATTATTTTACAATATCCATTTATTTTCAATGACCCAGATAACTTTATTCCCGCTAATTCACTTTCTACCCCACCCCATATTAAACCTGAATGATACTTTCTTTTTGCTTATGCAATTCTTCGTTCTATTCCTAACAGACTTGGGGGAGTTATCGCTTTATTAATATCAATCACAATTTTATATTTTATACCCCTAATAAAATATAAATATCTTAAAACCTCTCCCACATTTTTACCCACTCAATTAATCTTTTGAATTTTTATTAATACTTTTATCTTATTAACTTGATCCGGAATACAACTAATTGAACTTCCTTACATTATCATTAGTCAAATTCTAACCTTAAATTATTTTATATTCTTTCTTATTTATTTACCTTCCTATAAAATTTGAACTATTCTAATATCTATAAAATTTTAATCTAATCATAAAAATTAATGATCTTGACTAAGTTTATGTTTTGAAAACATATTAAAGAAATACTAATTTTCTATTAATTTTTCCATATTTTATACAAATAAATATTAATTTAAATATTACTATAAAAATTATATAATTTAAAATAAATGGTAAAATAATTTTTCAACATAAATATATTAACTCATCATAACGTATCCGAGGCAAAATCCCACGAATTATAATAATTATAAAAACTATTAAATTTACTAAAATCCAAATTCATTTTGAATAAATTAAATTTGTAAATATTCTTACCATTAAATAAGAAAAAAAAATAATTATCCCATATTCTGCTATAAAAATCAATGCAAATCTTCCACTAAAATATTCCACATTAAATCCTGAAATTAACTCTGATTCTCCCTCCACAAAATCTATTGGTCTCCGATTTAATTCTGCTAAAATTCTTTAAAAAAATACTAAAAATAAAGGTATTAAACAATAACAAGAAAGAAGGAAGCACAAAGCGAAGCCTATCGGTCAAAGCTAGATCAAGATGCTTATTATCATTAAGTGTGAATTTATATATCGTGTATGTAGGTTCTGTCAATCGCGTGCCGAACATTTTTTCAGACTTACAACGCAACTCTAAATAACTACCACGGTAATATCACTTTAGTTAGATTGACAATACAATCTAACAAATTTCGATGCTTATAGCATCTTATTAGATCTTAATAATATGTTGAAAGACATATATTAAAATTCAATATTAAATTAATGATAATTGAAAACTGTGAAAAATAAGATTGCGAAGAATATCACAAGTTGGCGAATTAAAGGTATTAATAATACTATATACCATAAATAATTCTGTCATTTTATAAAATCAATAAACATATATCTTTCTCTCATAATTATAATAATTAAAAAAATTATAATTAAACTTACTTCATAAGATAAAACTTGAGAAATACCCCGTAATGACCCTACCATTGAATATAACGAATTAGAAAACCAACCTATAATTATAATCAAATATCTTATAATTGTTAATATTATAATTATAAATAATAAAGAATAATTTATATAATAAATATTAGTAATAAAC